GCTAGTAGAAACAAGAAGCTACTAGGAACAAGTGCCTTACTAGTAGCAACAAAAAGCTAGTAGTAACAAGTGCATCGCTAGTAGTAACAGGTGCCTTACTAGTAGTAACAAAAAGCTAGTAGAAACAAGAAGCTACTAGGAACAAGTGCCTTACTAGTAGTAACAAAAAGCTAGTAGAAACAAGAAGCTACTATACTACTAGGAACAAGTACCTTACTAGTAGTAACAAAAAGCTAGTAGTAACAAGTGCATCGCTAGTAGTAACAGGTGCCTTACTAGTAGTAACAAAAAGCTAGTAGAAACAAGAAGCTACTAGGAACAAGTGCCTTACTAGTAGTAACAAAAGCTAGTAGTAACAAGTGCATCGCTAGTAGTAACAGGTGCCTTACTAGTAGTAACAAAAAGCTAGTAGAAACAAGAAGCTACTAGGAACAAGTGCCTTACTAGTAGTAACAAAAAGCTAGTCGTAACAAGTGCATCGCCAGTAGTAACAGGTGCCTTACTAGTAGTAACAAAAAGCTAGTAAAAACAAGAAGCTACTAGGAACAAGTGCCTTACTAGTAGTAACAAAAAGCTAGTAGTAAACAAGTGCATCGCTAGTATGTGGTATGTTCAAAGGTGAAGTGGTACTTGTTGTCCGCTACCGAAGTGGCGCTTTCACCACTGGTGGACTCCTACTCATGATGCAAGTAAAATGCTATCTTACTGACCGGAGACGAACCACCGGTGGTAACATGGTAGATCTTTACATGTGGTAAAATACTAGCTGTTGATGAAGTGGACACCCACTGCCGGTGGCTGTTGCGTAGTTCACTGACCGTTGCTTCAAGGATGTGTCCAACAACTGACGATGTGTCCAGTGACCTGGTTCGGACTCCGGACCGGAATCCACACCCAACCACACTGACGACACGACCAAACCGGACGATCGCGTGGAGTTGAAAAGGGATGGATGGAGGTCTAGGGCTCATACATTCAGGCGATCGGGTGTGGGCTAGCGTGAAGTGATGACCCACAATACAGCATCGTGGCAAAATCCTGTATCGCACAAACAAGCAGAGCAGCAAAACGTGTTTGCCTACTTCAAGTTGGACACTATCTTGTGCCTATGCCGATATGCAGAAAGCGTGATTAGTCATGTGAATCTTGGGTCAAATCGCCAAAAACATCATCTGGACTGGTCCGTCGTCTGGCCACAATCGATCTGCTTTGGAAAGACTGCGGATTCCGCCGTCAGACGGCAGACCGGACGCTGTCGGAGACGCTGTGAACCGCGGCGCCTGAGCCGATGTCCCGGACTTTGGTGTAGCCCCGGGAGGTCGACTCAGACATCACCTGAGGAAAGTCGGAAAGCGGCACCTCGTGACGTTTGGGTTTGGAGGTGTTCGAAGGTTTTTTGGGGAGACCGACGTCGATGATGTAGATGTCGTGGTCATAGAGTCGGAAGTTGGATACGAGTCCCTGTAGACCTTTCTTCCTTGCTTTTCGCTCTTGGGGTTGGAGGCCATCGCTAGTAGGTGCCAGGCCATCGCTTGCTTTTCTTTTTCAGATCTTTGTTATTTCTCTCGCGAGTCCCTCACAGAATCGCACTGTGACACGCCAAGCCCACGATCAGAGTTTCAGCGAACGGATCGGGCTGGTCGTTACTGGGGAAACATCTAACAGTGACCTTCGATGCACGGTAAAGCTGGTCTCACTTGAAGGGGCTGACACAGGCCAAGGTTCTGCACATGCATGGATTATACTTCATGGTTAATGAAAGCTTGTTCATCTTGTTCTATATGTTTGGACACTTGATGAACTGAGCATCTGTTTGAGCCGTGCTTCGGGATGTCCCCAGCTTCCCAACATGGTGCATTGGTGAGCAGGTCAAACCATCCACGAGCACCCGGGGCCAAGCTGGCTTTACCCACCTGCTCTTGCTCGATCTCAATCCCCCAGCATCAGAACACTTCGGGCACTGTGAAAACCGTATGTTCGATTCTTTCTTTTACTTCCTTCCATAGCTAAGCATCTTTCTGAATAAGTGCAATAAGGGAACTAATCACGAGGAGTAGCTCTTCCACTCCTGTCCATGCTCACTACAGTTGTTGGCCCGCGCACTTGGCGAAAGCCGAATTCGTGCGCACGTGTCGCGCACGGCCCCCCCAACTGTGAAGGAGGGCCTTGAAACAATGCCAAGGAGCAACAAACAAAGGCATCTTGAGGTGGACACACACAAAAACAGTATCCCAAAGTCCACAAATAGACCTTTCAGGAACTGCAGAAAACCGACAAAGAACTTCTATGCCCACCATTGCGCCTTATCTCCTCTAGCAAATCTACCACTGCCCCCTCAATCCTGTCAATGTGTGGGGCATTTCTCTACACTGTCACAGAAACTTGGTGAATTCATCTTCTCACACCATACCCGATGGGGATAGCCTCGACAATCAGGCGAGGTGGTTGAACGAACACTGCGTTCCGCTCATCTTGAGGAAAGAACAGTAATTTTACAAGAAACTGGAAACATGCTTTATGAAATTTCCATTCAAAGACCTTCCGTTCCCTTCTTCCCATGTTCTTTTCTTCGCTGCTTTGAAAACTCTAGACCATGCTTTTCTCGTTCCTTTTTAAAACCAGCTTTCAGTACCATCCGTTGACAAGTTGAGCTTGGAAAGCTCCACACCGACCGGAGACTGGGTACGTTTGATCGCCTGGGGCGCCATGGCCATGGGGTGTGGCATCTGCGGAGATCCTGCGCCAGAGCGATGCACCGTGTAGACCTGGCGGATCGGTCCGAGTGACCCGCAGTAGGTTTCCAGGCCGTCGTTCAAGGGCTTGGAACAAGACTCCTTCAAAGCGAACCATGTAAACACACTCCTACTTCCCCAATACTTCCGACAGGGGTTCCGCAACGACAGGCAGATGTGCGACAGACTCAGGTATACTCAGGTGATATGTGGCATCATACTCTAGCTCTACAGCTCTACAGTAAGTTCTGCAATCATCCAAGGCCCTTGTCGAGCATCCCAGACAATCAAAATCATGGGTGCTCCCAGGAAGCTAGTAGAAAAAGTGCCACGCTAGTAGTAACAGGTGCCTTACTAGTAGTAACAAAAAGCTCTTAGAATTTAATTCAAATTTAAGCGGTAGATTCCAGTCGACACGAAGCATTGGTCGAGTTGAACAACCGTTGGATCCCAAAAACCGTTGCGGCACCGAAGTGCATCAAAAGCATTCATCCCGACTGCTCGCCGCACCCCTGGCATCACACGGCCAGACATCATTGGCCTTGGGAGCGGGCTGAGAAGAAACTGCTGACTGCTGAGTTGCCGTATGTTGCAAACTTCTGAGGCAAGTTGTTCATTTCAGCCTTTGCGTGAACATTTGCTGATCGCAAGAAGCCTCAAAGATACCATGAAAATGCACAAAATAGACGTTAACATCGCTCTTAGGTTGGAGGCCAATGCTTCCAAAATAGACTTTAACTCTCTGACTCTTGCTGTACAGTGGGAAGATTATTCAAGCCGCATTGGTGTTCCACAGCAAACGGCGCTCGGGGATGCTCATGACAAGCTTTGTTGAAACTCTCTGTTCAAGAGTCAGCAGCACGCAAATTCAACAGCCAAAAAGCACATGAGAAGAAAGAAATGTTCAAATCGGTTCAGATCTATAGCCAAATAACCAGAAGATAGAAGACAATAAAAGCATGTCCTGTTTCTAAGATAATGTTCATTTGAGCTCGCGACGGGATGTTTTGTTGTGACATCGATGCAGCCATCCCATGTGAGACACCTCCAATGTCGATCAGGTGGGACCACAGGCACGATCGATCATCCCACCCCCGCCTAACCATGCTGGGGAACTCCAAAAAGACGGGACTAGGGGCGCTCCAGGCCTTACTACTAGTAACAAGAAGCTAGGAGTAACAAAGGTTGGTAAACGGACGGAATCTAAGATCGATCAACGGGACTTACTGAAGGGCAACTGTGATGGGTGAAAGGAGTATGGGAACTTGAAAAGGGACTTCAAGTGGAAGGTCCGATTTATGCCTGCCCTCTTGGGTTTCGTGATGTTTCGTGTTGCTCCTTCCAGTGACACTAAAAAGGCGCCTTCAAGTTCACCTGTTGTTCACCAGGCACTCCATTCAGCTCCTCCTGACCGAGCCCAACTCCCTTTCCGGGTTCCCCCGGCGGGTCTTCGGCGCACCATACGCTTCTTGGCCGGGGCTGATCATCCTGCCGCTCTCCCGTTTCGAGGACAATTCTGGACGTAGGAAGGATGAGATTTGGATGTAAATGACACGAATGACACCAAAAAGCACTGACCCCCACCAGCCCATTGGATCCAATCTGCAGAAATCCGTTCCACGAGGACCAACAAACCAAAGAGGCTTCTTCGGGTCTTTGGGTTTCAGGTGGTGCACCAGCTTCTCGCATCAACACATGGGGAGGTGCAAAGGAAAGTCATGACTTCCCGAGCTTCAGGCAAGGATCAAGTGACAACCTCGTCTTTCCACATGTACATAAGCTCAATCTGCTTTATGCAGCAGATATCATTGCAAAGTTACATGCTGGACAAAGGGTGGGTTTCGGTTCTAGTTTCGGAGTCAAGAGATCTTCTTAACTGGATCCTCGCTCAAGACATGTTTGACCAACAACTGACTGTTGCAATGGAAGGGAGTATGGAAGTTGCAATTGCACCACCAAGGGCAAACAAACCAGCCTGACTCCATCATTATTTGATGAGAGGGCGACGTGTACAGCTGCAGGTGATGCAACTTGAGTCACTTCCAAGTAGATGGATCGCTACAGTACAGGTGGTAACTGCGGGAAGTGCTTCTTGCCTACAGATTGGAGGCCATCACGTTCCGTTTCGAGAACACTTCCAGACAGTCGCAGTCTCCAAGCGTTTCAGTGTCAGGATCCCCGGCCCTGGCCGATGGGCGGCCCGCACGGGCATTTGCACACTGCGTGCTTCGCGTGGATCCCTCGGCGACACGCTGGCAAGACGAACGAGGAATCGGGAAAAAAAGAACGAGGTCTTTAAGACCTTGTGTCTTGGCCTCAAGTACCAGCTACTAGTAGCATCTAGTAGCGATATGGCGATCGTTAACATCGCCGTATCGATCCTGTTTCAAGCGGAACGAAAAGAAAGCAGCGGAACTCAAAAGAAGATCTGCTCATGATGTCTCCGGGTCTGATCGAGATTTGGAATGGGACACCCCGACCTAAGAAGGATCAAAATAGCCTAATAAGCATTCCAATGTTGGCCAATATGCCATAGATGGAGTTTCTGGGAGCGGCATTGAAAAGAATACGGCGGATCCCCAACCCACAGGCAAAACCATAGCCAATCATCTTGAGGAAGATTGGCTCGTACTGCTACGTGGTGCTTAGATCAACACGCACTGAACAAAACAAATCTCCTAGTTGGCAAATATGCCATTGGCATTGAAAAAGCTCCTAGTAGCGTCCTTGCTCCTAGTAGCGAAGCCCTTTGCTCCTAGTAGCATCCTAACTACTAGATGGAGTCTCTGTATCTCTTTCACATCGGAGGTGCTCGTTGTTACCTCGTGATGCTGTTCCGTTGGGATGTCGGGGCGCTCAATAGTCGGGTGCTTCACTGCTTCACATTGCGGTCCCATCTGGGTTCCTGGCACAGCGGGACTGGGACCTGGCAAAACGAACGGAGAACATGCTTTGGATGCTGAAAAGGACAAGGACACTACGAACGGGGCTCCTGGCATCGCTACGAACGGAGCAAACCACGCTACGAACGGGGCTCTATGCAATGCCCATCGATCCTGGACAGCTTTTGTGAGCAAACTCTCAAAGGAGAGCAAGGATCACTGGTCTCAGCCCAACCCTCAAAAGACTCGTACCTGGAATTGTTCTCCTCTTGAACGGGGCCTTTTCTGATTCATCACAACGTCGCTTGGTTCGAGCGAATAAGGAAGGATCCGCGCCTGTCGCCGTGCGCTGGGAGTCCTGGGAGGTGAGTACATCATCTGACACACCAGAGTGAAGCACAGCGCCTCCTGAAGGGAGTGCCTTTTGAACCGGTACGTTGATGACACACCGGAGTTCACAAAGCTGAGGGCTTGCCTTTTGAACCGGTACTTTCATTGGAGATCTTTGAACATGTTGGTTCATGTTTTAGTCAGCAATCCCCACTCTTCCATGCACGATGGGAATCCACCCGCTTGGTAGATGGATTGGGATGGATGAGCGGCCGAAACCTTCGAACTCAGTTGAGTGCACTCAGTAGTTGGACGCAGCATCTGCCATGGAGGCTTCATGTGATTTGAAACGCACTGATCGGCCCAAGTATTTGCATCCAGGACAGCTTTTCCACATGAGATGTTTGCTTGTGGTTCTTCCCTGACCCCCTCAGTTTCCCTGGAAAAAACGGTTAACCTCTTTCCACCCGAAAGGGTAAAAGCTTATCCACCGACCGGATAGGTTCCAGATCACGTGAGGTCCTCTTTCAGTGAGCTGCTCAGCAATGGTGAGTTGCGGCCCTGGCGACAAAGAAAGCTATTTATGTTCATTGGATTTCATTGGTTCGTTTGTCTACAAACCCAACTGCCAACAGTTGTGTCCTGTGAACAATCGAATCGGGACTTTTATTGGGTCAAGATATTCATCAGAGAGTTGCTACACAAGCGCAAGTTTCACATGAGCTGGCCAGTGCCAATGGCAGCTGTACCTCCCATGCAAGCAGGAAATGGTTTTCTTGATCCGTTTGCGGTTGGCGCTGCTGGCGCTGGCGCTTTTGATGCGGAATATTATTCATCAGTTCTGGCGAGCTTTCACATGACTCTAGCAACCATGTGCACAGCAGCTTCTTGCTCCTTCCAAGAGTTTAAGAAGCGTGGACTTGAAACACTTTCAAACCCGTCTCTCTGCCCTTGCACCTCCATTTCTGGCTTGAGACATTGCTGTCTTCTGAAACAGCCGCTGGAGTTTCAAGTGCAAATCTGGACAAGGCAAGACTCCAATAACTAAGATTTGACAGTATTCCTCCAGTTTCTCCACATTCAGCTGTCGCACCAACCCTTCGGGGCACTCCTCTAGGCGGTTATATCCTTCAGGACCTCGGCGCTCTGCCCGTGCAAGTCCCATAATAAAGAGTTGTTCTCTCTCTTCGCTCGCAAACCTACGGTTCAGCTCTAAAGGTGGAGCATCGAAACCAGCTGCTGTCACAGCAATGTCAGTGAGACGTCTTCCGGCTGAGAAATCCACACTGATCTTCTTGCTAGAAGCACAGCGATACTTGAAATTTACCGTCTCAGGGCGCCTGATTCTCACAATCACCACTGACGGTAAATCCTTTCGCGGGCGGACGTACCATATTTTCTTGCCCGGTTCCACGGAATCAAACCTCCCAAGAGCTCTTTTCCAGGGCCATTTCAACTCAACATTCTCCACGGCCATTGAAAGCAGTGCATCATTTGCCAAAGCCTCGTTGAGCAAATGATTCACTCAACAACAATCTAAACAAGGTACAGGCCGGACTAACACACCTTTGGACGCCTAGCGCGCAGAAAGAACCATCTACTGAATCTACTGAATCGGAGTCAAGCTTCGTTTTTTCCAAGGTCACAACGGCGACAATGAAGTTTCAAAGTGGTGCAAAGAAGGTCTTCATTCTGGTGCGGATACCGTCCGTGGGCCGTTGCGAGGTAGTCGTAGGTGTCTTCTTCAAAGAAGCAAACCTCTACAATATCCCCAACCTCTGGCACCCTTCGCTTCTTCAGCCAAAAGTGCCCTTTCTCATCGCCTAAGAGGCGGAATCGATCTTCGGGAATTGGCCTCACAATCTGCCCTGGCCGATGTGTCTGCTGCTCTGACTTCGCAATGACTGCGATGAAGCAGTAGAGCGGCAAATGCGAATGGTCTGTCCTTGCAAGGACATTGGCCATCAGCCTTTGAGGAGCTGCAGTTCGGACGCGGGTCCTTGGAATTTTTCAGGAAACAATCATGAATTAATAACAAGATGTAACAAGAAGCTACTAGGAACAAAGGGCATCGAACACATAATAGGACCACATCACCATGTAGATGTTGGCCAACTGTTTAGAAAACCAAATCAAGCTATAATATGAGCATGCATGGCAGATCGAGCTCGAACAGAACTTGGATGTTTTCATTGTGTAAATGAACATTTTTGTAGGTTTGAAGGCGGGGTCCTGCTCTTTAGCAGGGCATGCTGTACCTTGATTCTCCAGGGAGTTTGTTTGCTTTCAGCGGTTTGTTTTGATCTTTCTTGTCACCTCTAGAGTGTTTAGACATTTAAAATGTTCGGGTGTGAGGATGTTAGCGATGGCCTCCAATCTAGTAGCTTCTTGTTACTAGTAGTAAGGCCAGGAGCTACTAGTAGCGTTTACAATGTATCAGATTATCATGTAATGTATATATCATCGCAAACTTTGCTTGCAGTATGGCGCAACAAAGCCAATCCTCAAGAATCAAGGTACGTGTCGTCACTGTAAAGAAAGAGATCCCCCGGGTTGAGATGGGTCCCCTGCACCCTGCTTTCTTTACTATCTTTACTGATGTCATTTAAAGCAACTCGCCGAGCTGGTTGATTCTTTAGAAGAAACTTTTGCGTTCCCATGGAAACTCCAACCAAGTCCAAGGGTCTGAGAACATGGAATCTCAACAGGCTCTAGGACTTCTGCAGGTTCTGCTTCGAGCTTTGAAAGGGATACTACGGCCTTCTCCAAGTCATAGGCAGCATCCATGAGGTGCGTGCTCAGGAGATCATCATCGAACATCGGAAAGCTGTGCCGAAGTTTCAAGACCGGATCTGAAACATCTATAGCCAAACCAAACACCCCATCCGTCACCTCGCCCTTAGGCTCCGCATCACCTTGCTCTTCCTCGCTATCTTCAATCTTCTCTGGCAAGTTCACAGCACCTGAAATCGAAGATGGCTGAGCCTTGGCTTGCCTCTTTTTGGACCGAGTTTGCCCTTTCTTCTCTCTCTCCTCCTCTGCGATCAGTTCCTCAGCCGCAGCACGGCTTTGTTCCTCCAATCGCAGGAGGATCTGGGCCCGCCTGACACCATCACGCTTCTTTTTCTCAACTGCCGTGAGAATGCTTGACCATTGCCGCCAAAACTCCTGATCCAGTGCATCCCTGCTTCGTGATAGGGCCGACAACGAGCTATGCTTCACAAGCGGAAGCTCATCCAACACTTGGCAAATCTGCAGGAACCAACTCTTTGGACTAGATTTGGCAAGGCTCAAGACAGCACCTGCATTAGGGATGGTGGAAAGCAAAGACTCGACCTGCTCGTGGACATTGACCTCCTCTTTGCCCGCTTTGACACTTACGCGCTGGTTGGACACAAGTTCCCCTTCTGCCATGTTGAACACAGCTTCCGTCCAAGGTTGCACCACTTCATGCCATCCTGCGACAGACTTAATGCGTGCTTCGGGCTCGGCATGGGCCCATATCAAGTCCTCAAAGAAGCCAGCTTTCCACTCAGCCCACACGCCAGCTGGAGCAAGGGTCCAACAGAGTGAGGGCTTGTGGAAATACAAGATGCTGGAACAGTCTTTAGACCAGTAGGTCTCGCGATCAAACATGGTAAACTCCTTCCCACTGCGTTCGATGTAGTCTCCATTCAGCGCTTGGTTCTTGAAGCCGCTCAGAGTTACTTTGCGAAAGGTCTTTATCTTCACACCTGGATGCCGGCCCAACGTCGAGTATTGCTCTGGTACCGGCATCATTGACCGAAGCAACATACTGAAGGGTGTAGCCTCCAATTCCTCGGCACAACAGGGGAAGTGTGAAAACATGCCCACACGAAAAGCTCTTTGCACATGCAACTCCACCAGCAGGTGGCATAGAGCAATATCAATAGTTACTATATTCACCTTTCGCCACTAACCTGTCCCAAAGCCTGGAAAAATGCATGAAAGCTTGCCACAAGCTAGACCACTCAGCATCCCAAGGACTAGTGCTGTGGCCGCGCTTGCAGTGCTGCTTGTTGCCAAGTTCATCGCGAGCTTGCGGATCAAAAGGCTTCATCACAAATTGGGCTATTCCGTGGTCACCTGGGTGTTGAGTGGGTTGAAGTATGGCAGTCTCGTCATTTGACACCCAGGACCAACCGTTTGGGGCTGCATCATCAGAGAGCCATGACCACCGCCACCCTTGTCGTCCATCCATGACCACCGGAGCGGGCCGGGCAGGGATCCGCTTTGAACCGACATGGAATCTGATTGAAGGCTACCCGTAGACATTAAGCTACTAATGCTAATTCTAATAGCTTCTTGTTACTACTAGCGATGCACTTGTTACTACATGGAATCTGATTCAGCCTGGCCCAAGACCTAAACATCTGGTAGCTTTGCCTTCGGCTGTCCAGAGTGCGCCACACAAAGCAAACGAAACGGTCATCGTCTAAACGGTTCATCGTCTCCCAGCCTGCTCAAAGTCTTTCTGCCTCGCCAGGTTTCGCACAACTCAGGCTCTGAAAAACAGTGCCTGTTGCTATGGAAACGAAGAATCTCACACCAACTTCTCAAATTAACATGCCCCGGTAAATGCTCGACATACAGTAACCCTGCTAGAAAGATGTTCAAGTATGTCTCGGCCAAACATGCCCAAAGCAAGGGTAGTAAGGTTCCTGAACCCAAACAGCATTTGCACGGATTTCTTTGGGTCCCGTATGGTCCCGTATTTCTAATGTGATTAAGCTACTATTTTTAACTATAATAGCTTCTTGTTACTACTACAGTAGCGATGCACTTGTTACTACTAGCGTATGGTCCCGTATTTCTTCGCGCCTGATCTGGGTTTCCAAAGTTCCAGCCGGGTTCAAGGGAAGCTGCACGGGACTCTTCGATGGACGCTTCGGAGATTGTCCTAGACAGACTGAGCTCAAGCGTTAGAGAAAATGGTCCACGGTTTCTTTAAGGGTCGAAAAAAGAAGGCGCACAACAATCAAGTCCAAGAATCTTTATGCTACACTGCTACACTTCTCTATCTCTCTCTCTCTCTCTCTTTCTGCCTCTTTACACATCAACATGGCTATACCTACATCCTAGTCACCTAGTCTTTTGGTTCCCTCTTCCACACCGCGATCCTCGTGGGTTGGGCGTGGGATCCAAGATGGTCAGCACACCAGTGACCGAGGTCTGGATGCTTCGCAGCTTGTTGGTCAACTCCTGCGGACCGAAGCGGAACCCACAGAAATGAAGTAAGAGAAGTCTTTAGTGAAACAAAGACTTGAGAGAAAAAACAATTGAACGGACAGATTTTGCATACACATCTCTGAGCTTCAGGTTCTCTTCTCTGAAGCTTGTCTAAAAATATCCACCGTGGCTTCGAAATAAAGACACTCGGGCAATTGTGTCTTTGTTTCCCGGATCTTCGGATCTGAACGATCCGAAGAAGACGAAATGACCGGGGGGACTACCGCGAGCACTACCGGTGTCCCGACCCAAGTGGGCCTCACGGAAGTTGGGCTCACTATCGACTTTCGGTTCAGCCCTCAGCACTGACGGGGGCTTGAGGTGAGGCTTTGGGGTGAAGCGACAGAGATCAAAAAGAACGTCCAAACTTTAGAAGGGTTTAAGTTTTAATCTTGAAGGGCTTTTGAAGGCCTTTGCGTGGAAACATTCACCCAAGGCTTACCCAAGTAAGTAAATACGACAAGTGTTTCTCCACGAGATGTTGTTGTCTTTAGTTTCTCTGGCCATCGAGAAGGCCTTCAGATACCGCATAAACCCGCTTCCAAGAAGCATTGATGATTGGTACCTAATCTAGATCCTACATGATCCTACAGGTCCCTCTCAAAGAAGCAAGGAACGCATCCAGCCTGTAGGACCCAACATACTTACTATACAGGCTTTCTTCATATGCTTTCTTTCGTGTTCTTTCTCCGAACAAACTTCAAAGAGTGAACCACGACTCAGCTGGGCTGCCGATTCGGCTTCTGGGGCATCACCTTCGTCAAGGTTTGAGAGAATTTGTGCGGAAGAACAAAGGCGAGAAGAATACTGTTCCAGGATTCCTGAAATATACAGATTCTGCTTTGTCCTTTTCTATCCTTTTCTTCTCTTTTTCCTTTGACCTCCAGAGAGCTTCTTGTTTGCTCTGGATACATCATCAATGCCCTTTGCTACATTGTGTTACCCGGTTACTCTTTGCTCAAGGTTTCGCCTTCAGTGCATGAGGCTTCCCATCTCGAGAATCGAATCTTCCCAATCCACGGGTGGAGCACGAGGCTTCCATTTGTGAAGCACAGGAAATGCGTATCAAATCCAAACGAACATACTACACCCAGTCACGATACAGTAAATACGAGCATGCGGCATGCGTATGTAAATCATCCTGCATCCACACGAAAGCTGAAAGTGTGACCTGGATGTCTTCAGCGCATCTCAAAAGGACCGCTTGTCACTTGTCACACTGTTGTCAGATACCAGTCTACCATAGGGTCTAGTTCTGTTTGTCCGTCTTCTTCGAGCGTTGGTGGTCTCCACTGAAAGACGTCTTCCGGCCTGGGGGATCTTGCCCCTCGGGCTTTGATTGAGCTGATTTGCACTTGGAACACCGCCTCGTGCGCATTGGTGCGCTGGCGAAATGGACTTGGGGCACGAAATTGTAGATAGCATATACATACATATACCAATATATATATATAGCGTGCTTTCTTCAATGAAAGGTCATCCCTTCAATCCATATCTCAGCAGTTGTTGAGATTAGTCCAAGCAGATTTGTTGTATATACATAAGACTCGCAGAAAGAGAGAGAGAGAGAGAGGGCCGAGGGTCGGAGTGTGGCAAAGAACCACGTCAGGTTGCTCCACTTGACTGCTATTGGGAATATGGTTCCACGCTGTTGAGATCGCTTCTGGGTTCCTTCTCACCAAGTGCTTTGAGGAATGCAAGGAGCAAACAAAGGGCATCGAGGGGCGAGCAAACAAAGGGCATCGAGGGGCGTTCGGACGCTACGAACGTAACAAAGGACGCCCCAAAACTCCGGTCATGGCGGTCCCGTTGATCGCCCCGTCGGAGTCCCGGGCATTCCATCGCGCTGATGGAGCGCTGCAAGCCCTGCCGTGGGTTTGGGGGGCCGAAGCAGCCAGAAATCGGTTTGAACAAAAGGTCTGGACTCTGAAGATCCAGACTCTTGTCTCAAAAAAAATTCTATATCATATATCTATCCTTACCTTCTGAACCAGATGAGATGGACAATTCCAAGCGTATTCCATGTCGATTCCATGGCGTTTTCCATGGCGTGTTCCATTGCTTTGCATTTTCTTTGCATGCGGAAACATTGCCAATAACCTGCAGCTGAGCATAGGAAGAGTGCAACATCCCCTGCAGCCTCGGACGTCACCGGTGTGATCAACCCGTCGTGACGCAGGTCGATCCGTCAGGTCTCAGAGTCTCCCCGGACGAAGGAAAAACTAGTAGTAACAAGTGCCACGCTAGTAGTAACAAGTGCCTTACTAGTAGTAACAAGAAGCTATTAAAAACCATATACAGTATATAATTCCCTTGTTCCTAGTAGCTTATTGTTACTACTAGTAATGCCCTTGTTACTAGTAGCGATGCACTTGTTCCTAGTGGCTTCTTGTTACTAGTAAGAATGCTCCTAGTAGCGATGCCAGGAGCCCTTATATACAGTAAATCCAGGTGATGAGTCTGCCAGGTCGATCCAGGTTTCTCTCTATTCTCCTAGTAACGATGCTCCCTTGCTCCGTTCGTAAGGCCAGGAGCTACGTTCGTAGCGTCCGAACGCTCCGTTCGTAGCGATGCCCTTTGCTCCTAGTAGCTTCTTGATCGTTTCTCTCTATTTCTCTCGTCATCTCTCATCTAAGTCTGAATGTACTGTTCCCGGAACCCCTCAACCTTCCCAGCCTTGAAACTAGCAGCGACAAGCTGCACTTGCTTCCAGAAGTTGCTGATTGGTCCAAAAAAGATTAAGAAGCTGGCATCGCTACTAGGAGCAAGGACGCTACTAGAGGCTCCTGGCCGTACTACTAGGAACAGGAAGCTTGTAGTAACAAAGGGCATTGCTACTGGGATGTTCGGTGCCAACTGACTCTAGGGCTGTCAGTCCCGTCCAGATGGCCTAGAAAAGATGAAAGCAACTCATTCGTTGGTCACACAAGCAAATGCCCTCTTCTGGTCGAACCGGGCAAAAACTGCTGGAACTACAATCATTCTGTTACAACATGTGACAACCAAGAACAGCCAACACCCCCGGAGTCCGCCCCACACGCACCGACCCTTGACGCCGCTGCCAAGATGCCGCTTGGCATCAGCGGCGTGGCCCGCCTCCACCGAGGCCAACTTCGCCTCAAAGGCCTGGGCCTGAGCCAAGGCCTCAAGGAATGACGAAGAGGACGAGAGAACGAGACGAAGAGGACGAGCTACCTCCAACCTGGACTCCAACCCAGCGGGCTACATATATGTTATATAATTGTTAATTGTATGTATACTTCTGTGTATATATATATATATATCTTCGACACATTCGGTGGGACTCTTCCAGTGAGTCGACAGGTGAGTCGATTTTTCACTCACAGGTGCTTAAGGTGTATCTCCAGCCAGTTTCATCCCTGCCCAACAACATCGACATCTCTAAAACACAAAAACTTGAACCTGGGCAGGAAGGACGCTACTAGTAACAAAGGGCATCGATACTAGGAACAATAAAGCTGTTTGTTTTCTTTGGAAGCCCACCCACCGCCGGCCACCGCCGGCCTCGGCACGGAGCATGTGGGCCACCGACTCAAGACGGCCTGAGAGTTGCGGACGAGAGGACTTCACACGGTGTTGGGATCTCCGGGTCCCGCAGGGTCGCTACTGGTAACAAGGGCATTACTACTAGTAGCAAGGATGCTACTAGGGACTCCTGGCCTTACTACTAGTAGCAAATAGCTACTAGTATACGTAGCTTCTAGCTACTAGTAAATGCACTTGTTACTAGTAGGCTTACAAGGGCGCCATCTGATGTTAGAATCATGCTAGTAGCGTCCTTGCCACTAGTAGCGATGCCCGGGTTCCTAGTAGCGATGCCAGGAGCTACTAGTAGCTTCTTGTTCCTATAGTACTGTGAATGAAGAGACTTCTGAGATGTCATCGTTATCATCAGTAGAATCCGGCCAATCAGCCAGCAGCAGGCAAAGCTGTGGTGCACGTGCGCTCAAC